ACTAAGCCCTTTGAACGCAAGTATTTTTTAAGCAGTGATGCCAACCACTGAAACAAAATTCGGTAAGCTATTTACAAGATTATATATGTATATGTACATATTTGCGAAAATGTGTAACTTGTCAATCTGTACACAAAAGCCGCATAATTTGTATATTACACAAATGTTTTCGTGAATTGATAGCTCTAGGAGCAAAGGGTGATTTTTGGTACGCTTGACGGCAATATTTGCTTGATACAAGAATTGTACAACAAACATATACAAAATGAGACCAGCATACCCTAAAGACAACTTATGAGAATGTGTGGTTAATAAAATTGCTGCTTCTCCGTAAAAGTTGCCAATTGGCATATGAAAATTTCTCGGACCGAGTGGAACTTAATTGGAGAATGTCGATATCTTATCGACGAGCCTCCGTATTTTAAACGCTCTGAACGTTCATATTTTTCACACTCTCTCGTCCTGGCACCGAGATGAAAACTTGACGCGACGGAGAGAAAGAGGGAGATTTGTCCCCGAACGAGTGAAAAATAGCGTGACCTGAGCGTATTATTTGATGATTAATTGAGCCAATTGCGCGCGGCACAGAAGAGCCATAAAGATTGGAGAGTATCTAGAGACTCGCATACCCGCGCAATACCGCGGCGCCTTGAGCGCCGCTCGCCTCGGCGCGGCGACGATCTGCGCATCGTTCCGTCTGTGACTAGAGGACCCAACGACTTAACCCAGTCGGGCCGAGACGGCTAGTGCGATATCTTCTGCATTCTGAAAAATGGCATGGTTATGCGCCCGCACCGTGCTCCAAACATGTCGACGGCGGATCTCCTATAGCCTCGCGTGCGCCCAAAAAGAATGTAAATATCATACCCGGAACGACTCGTCGCCGAGCCGTTCCGCACATGTTTCTCGCATTTTCGCGTTTATCCGCATTACGTAATGTTTTTCGTTCGCCCATCGATTTCGACTCTCGGCCTACGGCGGGCGCACTGCGCACGGTAGGGAGAGAGAGAGCAAAATTTCCATCCATTCACGCGTACACTTTTCTTTTCCCGACAGTCGCTGATCCGCTCGATCATGCCACAGGCTTGGAGAAGAGGGAGATGCTCGCCCGTTTAGCCGGTAACGATGTAAGTTGTGTGATCTCCAGGTCGGCCCGCGTGGACGTGTCCCTATGGGTTTGACGTACCGATGTCATATATTTGTTATTAGTGATATAATTATATAAGTGGTGTGACAATTATTATTACCTTGTGATTTGAAATGAAATGCTGTGTGCGGTAATCTCGAAAAGATTAAGCCCTTGATAAGGCCTCAAGTATCAAAGATAAGAAACGAGTATTATAATGAGAAAGTATTTTTATGATAACTTTTTTATAGACTTGTCTATTTTGTTATCTTGCCATATTTCTCGGTGTTGCTGCAACGAGTATTAATAATTGGAAAATAGATGGGTAACGTTTGTTAACTTGTATCCGTTCAGGATCCGTACAATATGACCATAAAGCGGCGAGCAATCAGTACAAAGGAAGATCCCAACATAGTCTATAGCGCATTCGAGAGTCGCATAATGGGATGCGTCTGTGACGAAGACTCACTACACGTCAACTGGATGTGGCTGCACCAAGGTCCTCCGCGCCGTTGCGAGTGCGGCCACTGGTTCAAGCTGGTCGAGAAAGCACCTATATAATATTCCTAAGGATGTGTGAGCTAGTGGATTGTTTTCAACATAGAATTAATGTTACATTAGACAGTAATTATGTCTATCTTCATTTATTACCATGTCCTGCCTCCATCCTATTGAAAAGTTAAATGGCTCATTTATTGTATGGAAATCGCAGAAATAAATATATTGTAAATATTATGTATATTATCCTACATTTCAGTCTTACATTGTTGCAAGTTTATGAGCTCGTGTGTCACTGAAACTAAAGATACATTCGAGGCGTCGTCATGTAGGATGGACTAAAATTTTTGTAAATTTAATAAAAAAAAAAAGAAGTTCAATTCCCTATCTCAACCGTAATTGGATTAAAAGTGTGACGTTGGAAAATATTTATTTGGGTACATATTGCGAAAATAACTTCTTTAAGTATATATTTACAAGTCACTTTCTTCTTGCAGCTCGTTCAAGTTTGAATCTACTCGCAATTCTTTTCTCGTCTTTCTTTATCGAAACATCATTTGCTGGCGATATATTCCTTTCTTGAACTTTTTCTTTGATTATCTGCAAAATACGTTTATCAGTATATACAGTCTATGTAATAACAGTACTATTTAATGATTACTTTTACTCACAGAACTAAATACAGGATATTCAACATCTTCATCTTCCGTTTCCGTACTACTGTCCTCGTTCAAAGGTGGAGCGACTTGATTGTAAATCGTATCATTTGGAGATCTTTTCAAAATAGACTTGGGAGTATTAAACAGTTTATAAATATCTACAGGGCTTTGTATTTCTGCATTATTTGGCTCTAGTATATCTGGAATATGGGATGAATGTGAAAATTCAATCCTAATGATGTCATCTTCATCTTCAGAGTCTTCGTGTGCGTCATCTACGTTCGAAGCGGAACAAGCTTCTTCTGCGTTGCCTTCGTATTCTACGACACATGGTTCAGCGAATGATATCCTTCTTTCGCTCTTCCCATTAGTCTCTTTAGACACTTCCCTAGGTTCAGGTGAACAACTCTCCCTTAATGTATCTTGAATCGAATTTGAAGAATCATGGGATTCCTCATTCCTCGTAGTATTTGTATCCGGAATTTCATCTTGAGCCGCGCCAGAACTGATATTCGACGCGCCACTTGTAATTCTGCCCATTTGGATGTCTTTCAGCTTTTTTAATTCCTCCTGAATTAACTCTGTTGTGACTTGATCGGAATCTGACGTATCCTCCTCTGATTCGTCGTAAACTTCGCCCTCTTCCAAATCATCGCCGTAAAATTCTTTCTGTTCAGCTTCCAATCTGCGCAATCATAGAATGGTAGACACATTGCAACTGCCATTGAAAGTAAATTTCAATTGCAAGACAAAATTGTAACCTGTTAATTTCATCTTCCAACTCTTCTTGTATTTCTAATTCATCAAGTCTCTTGAGAAGGTCTTCCTCGGTACTAATGTCAGTCTTTTCTCTCGCCAGCTTCTGATGATACGCCTTCTCGTGCTGCCTATGTTGTGCTGCAAAGAACAACATTACAGTATCCAGCATAATGTAAGTAAAAACGTAAATTTTCCTTGTACCTCTCCACTCATCAAGCTTATTCTCAGTCCAGTGTTCCACTATGTCTTTTGTGTCCTTCTCTCCAAAGGCACCGTGTTCCAGTGGCAGATATTGTCTCATCTCATACAAGTTCCTCTCAGTTTCTAAGCCCTTCAGCATCTCGTCCGCCCCTGTCAATAAAACACATAACAAGTAGTATCTCGTTTAAATCGTTGTCAAGAATACACATGAGATTATTACATGCTATTCTCCTGTTGCACAACGCGATCGCTTGAGATGCGCTGTATTTGGCAAAATAGCCGTCCCCCAAAGAAGCCAAGATTTCGTTGGTATGAGTTAATTTCCCTTTCATAAACGCTCGCTTGCCGATGGGCACCAAACAATTCTCGGAAAGAGATAATGGATACACTTCAAGTCCCTCTATCACCTTCTTGTGCCTGTTCATGTATTCGGTTATGGTCTTGGTTCGCTCCTCATTTTCCTCAAGTTTCTGTAACATATTTATATCGTCATTCGATTCTCTGAATGTAACAAGTATAAATATAAAGGAGGAACTGTACATGAGATCTGATTGAAAAATATTTCATAATTTTATACCTGTGTAAATACTTTATTAAGCAGTATCTGCGTGTAAGTTTTTATTAATTCAGGCTCCATCGATACCGCATCGTTAGCTACACCTCTATCCATATTTTATCTATGTCACGTTCAAGAAAAATTAAATATAAGATGCAAGCCAGATGCATACGCAATGCACTCAAACAACCTCTCTTGCATCCATCTCGTCACTGGTTACATAGCTTCGTATTAGAACCTTACCTAACCTAGGCCACAGTATAACCACCATAGAGCTATTACAGATAGAGGGAAGTAGGTATGGGACAACGTGTAAGCGCATGCGATAGTGGGATAAAAAGAGAACGTTGCAATAGAGGCCGGTGTGTCACTGTCTAACAGTCACGCGCATGCGCGTAACGTGTGCGCTTGAGGCAGAGTGTGTCTCTTTCTTTCTTATAAAAGCATGTGGAAAAAGAAAGATACACTCTGAACTAGTGCAGTTAGGCGCACGCAGTACCTAATACGCATGCGCTATGAGACAATGACACACCGGCCTCTATTGCAGCGTTCCCTTTCTACAGCTATATCGCTTCCTTCGTTGACTCCCTCCCTCTATCTGTAATAGCTCTATGATAACCACAGTATAACCAT